TGCCCAGGGGCTGGCGCCCTGCACGGAGGGGGTGGGGGGGGTTGCTGGGTGGCTTTGCGGGCAGATGGCTGGTCTCGAATTTTGATCTTTATCTAAAATTGTTCTCAAAAAGGGCTGGGGGAGGGAAGGGGATTAATCTTCATACCAAAACAGCTTAAAATCAACCCAAAATCTGTAAAGCTCTGCAGTTTAAGCCCTTCCAAGAGCAAAAAATAACCGAGAGGCTGCAAAGCCCCGCCAGCTCGGCTGGGCTGTACCAAACGGTGCTGGGCTTGGCGCGTTCGGTGCCTGGGGCTCTCTGACCTTGCAGAGATTTTGTTTCCAGCCCGGTCGCAGCGGGGGAGAGGAGCAGGCGTGAGCAGGGAGAGCCCTTTGCACCTGCTGGCAGGGAGGAGATGTCCCTCCCGAGGCGGCGAAACTGCAAGCGGGGAGGAGCGGGAGCTGGTATAAATAATCCTCCCCATCCCCACGCTGGCCGGGCAGCGCGGCTGCAGCTTATCTGCTGGCCAGAGGCCACTTATCACCTCCCAGCCGCTGCTCTCCTGCTGCCAAGCTCGAAAGGGCTCGGGAGGGTGGTTTGTTCCTCTCCCTCCCCCGGGCCGTGCCGGGAGGGGAGATAAGAGATTGGCATTGAGCAGCTCCAGGGCTCCGGCCGTGCTCGGTGCTGGCTCAGCCCGCACGGCAAAGCAGATGCAAACGGCTTGGCGGCCCCGCTGCCCTGCTCTGGCCAGCTTGCAACCCTGTCCCCAGGGGTTTCTGGCCTAAAGGGTGGGAGAACTAGAGATTTGGGTGGGAGCGGAGCACTCGGAGCGGGGAAAGGAAAGGGATTGTGCAAGGGGGGATGAGGACAGCCCATGCGTTTGGCTTCCATCCTCCAGAAAGGTCCCTGGGTATGTCTGGATGGGTTACTGCCCTCGGTACTGGCGTGTTTATTTAGCGAAGACGTTCCCCAAGCAGTAAGGCTGTAGGCAGCGATGCTTCTGCTGTGCCTTTTCCAGGTTAAAATGCGAGAATTTCTTGGTGTGGGCCATGGCGTGGGGGTGCAGAGGCTCAGGGCTGGCCGTGCTGCGGCAGGGCTGTGGTTGCATCTCCCCCTCTTCCGTTGCGTCCCTCACCCGTGCGGTGTGGGATCCCCAGAACTGGGAACGCTGGCCCTTCCCCACCACCCATAACCGAGCTCCTTCCTCTCCCCATCCCCAGCAACAGCAGTGCTGAGTCCTTAGACCGGCTGTACCCTGCAGTGGGCTCCACCAAGCCACCCCGAAAGCGGACTACTAGCCAGTGCAAGGCAGAGCCACCCCTGCTGCGGACCAGCAAGAGGACCATCTACACAGCTGGCCGGCCGCCGTGGTACAACGAACATGGGACACAGTCCAAAGAGGCCTTCGTTATCGGTAGGCAGAGGCAGCGCGTGTCTGGGCTCTGTCCTGTCCCACCTCTGCGCTTCGGCCGGTGCAGGCTTAGCACGGGCAGCGTTGGTGCTGCCTGCCTGGTGGTTCTCCAGGAGATCTTGGGAGGATTCCTGCCCCACAGCCTCCTCGGAAACTTGAGGTCAGCTCCAGACTCCAGGCTGTGAGCTGCTCAGCCTGGACAGGAGCGGAGAGAGTCCCCATGGTTGCTGCAGTGTAGGCTTGGGCAGAAGCTGAGAGGTTGCAGATGGGGCTGGTGGATCATAGCAGGCACTGGGCAGACCACAGTCTTTGCTTGTTGTTCCCTCAATTCTTACTGCCTGGGCTGTCACGAGTTCCCAGGGAATTAGTCTAGGCTGGTTCCCCAGCCAGCTCTCCCCCTGTTACACAACTGTCTAACGAAGGGTTTCCCAGCTCTGGCCGTGCACGCTGCTGGCAGTTGCAGTGCCTGCCATTTGACATTTTCAGGGATAATCTCGCTCCTGGAGTGCCTATCGAACTCCCTCTTTGGAGGTTCCTCCAACTTAGTGCAACAGAGCAGGCCCTGGGCCCTAGCCTGTGGTTGGAAGGGCGGACTGCGGGGTTGGTGGCTTCATCCCCTTTTCCCTGGCAGGCCTGGGAGGAGGCAGCGCCTCTGGGAAGACCACGGTGGCCACCATGATCATTGAGGCTCTTGATGTCCCTTGGGTGGTTCTGCTGTCCATGGACTCCTTCTACAAGGTGAGGCTGCGCGTCGTCCTGGCCAGGCTCTTGGGGCCGCCGTGGCCCTTGGCGTCACCCCTGATGGGGGAAACACAGTGTGGATTTAGTGACAGCCTCGTGGTTTCCCCTTCAGGTGGTTCTTGGGGCAGTGGGAGAGGTCACTGGGCTCGGCGGTGGGGAGGATGTTGGTGGGGACAACCACGTGCACCAACCTCTTCTCTGTGGGCAGGTGTTGACCAAGCAGCAGCAGGAGCAGGCAGCCAGCAATGACTTCAACTTTGACCACCCCGATGCCTTCGACTTTGACCTCATCATCGCCACCCTGAAGAAGCTGAAGCAAGGCAAGAGCGTGAAGATCCCCATCTACGACTTCACCACCCACAGTCGGAAGAAGGAATGGGTACGGGACACTGAGGGGGGTGGGACAAGGCAGGGGGACGGCCATGGCAGGAGAGCAGGGTGCCGAGTGGCCCCCTCCAGCCCCTGCCTTTTGCAGTCAGACTCATGCCGTCACCCTTTGCTCAGGGCACGTTTTTCGGGTGAGATGTTGCAGTCGCTAACAACCAGGAGAGATTCCCTGGGATGGGGCATCTCTGAGCACACGTTCTCTGTCTGACCACATCCATGTTGACTCCGCAGAAAACCCTGTACGGCGCCAATGTGATTATCTTCGAAGGCATCATGGCATTCGCGGACAAGGAGCTCCTGAAGGTGAGGAAGGGTTTAGAATCAGTCCTGGGGAAGCCTGAGAGGCAGAAGTGCTGCAGCCCCCTCCTCTGCAGCCTTATACCACAGCACAGAGAGAGTCCCCGGTGCCTTGCGGGTCCCGTGTGCCGCTGGATGGGACCCCATCCTCCCACTGTGCTTCAGCATCCCCCGTACAAACCAGCCCTGCTCCCCATAGCCGGGGGGGGGGAGATGGCAGGAGCATGCTGTGTCCCGAGGTTCGGCAGCAGGGAGATGCCATTCTCTTCCAGGTTACACCGGCTGCTGCAGCACTTCACGGTGCGGGAGAAAGAGGCCTCGACTCTTGCAGCAGCAGGGGAAGAGCCCTCGGCAGAGGTCAAGCGTTTCAGCAGAGACCTTGATCTCAGCCATTTGTTCCCAGGAACTGGGAGCCGAGTGGCGACCTGGTCCCTGGCAATGGTGGTGCATAAATAGGACGAGAAATAGCCCTCCTCACGCTGCGTGCCTCAGCTTGCCCAGCCGGCAGCAAAGCCTGCTGTACTTCTAGGGCGCAAAGCCTGGTGTCCCTAGCATGGACTCATCCAGCACTCCAGGCTTTCTTGGGAGTTATTTGGATACGTGAGCAATGCTATAGGAGGGAATGAGCCACGCTCAAACTCAGCCAACCTCAGTCTAGAAAGTTTCTTTCCCTGCCAAGTGAACGTTTGGGTTGCACTTTCCTGGAGCAACGATGACCTCCAGTGGACAGCCGGGTAAATCCCCCAGGAGCTTCCTCCCGGCATCCCTGCTCCCGTCTCTCGCAATTAAGGGTGGCGTCGTGAGCCGGGCTTGGCTCCCCTCCAGCCCTGAGGAGCCAGCGCTCCTGGGCTAGGCCTGTTGGTCTCTCCCATGGGCATTAACTTCTCTTGCCTCCTCCTCGCTCTTAAATAACATCCAGGCAAAGTGCTGGGGCTGCTTAGAAGTGGGGACGGGGTTTGGAGCAGGGCAGGTTTCGGGGGGTACGAGAGTTAAGGTGCAGGTGACAGCAAGGGACTGACTGTAGCATCTGTGCTGCCAGCCAGGCTCAAGTTCAAGGGCTGCAGAGGCAAAGGTCCCTCCAGGCTGGAGCAGAGCTGAGTCGAGCTCTGTTTTAAACTGGTGGTGTGCTGGGCCCAGGGCTCAGCCTTCTGGCTGTGGCTGGTGGAGGTTGGTTCGAGTTGCGCACCTAAGCTGGTGGGGTTTGTCCCCTCCCCTCTCATTTCAGCTCCTCGATCTGAAGATATTTGTGGACACGGACTCGGACATCCGCCTGGTGCGTCGCCTGCGCAGGGACATCAGCGAGCGTGGCCGTGACATCGAGGGTGTCATCAAGCAGTACAACAAGTTTGTCAAGCCTGCCTTCGACCAGTACATCCAGCCCACCATGCGGCTGGCCGACATCGTCGTGCCCCGAGGTACCGGCCCAGGGCTGCCCCGAGCTGCCGCGTGGCTCAGTCCTGAGTGGGACCTGAGAGACCCCGTCCCTCAGCTCTGCTGGCCAGTCCCACCGCCCTCCATCTGGCGAGGACAGAGGGGTGGCTGTCCCTTGCCAAAGCAAGGGTCCCTCCAGTTGAGTGTCTCCAAACGCTGGCCGAAAGCAGATTCCTAGGGGAAAGTCTATGGTTTTCCATCAGTCTCTTGCCCTACCAGCTCCTGCAGCTTAGCGATTTAAAAGCTAGAGGTGACTTCTGGATATTCAGTAGGTGACTTCTAGATATCCAGTAATAGATTACTAACGAATAATTTAATAATAGCAGGAGTGTCTCCTGCTGGAGGATGCTTTGCTAGGGAAGGGATGTTTGGGCTACGGCGTATTTTTTAACATAGCAGGGAGCTTGGGGAAGAAGCGTGCTTCAGGCCCTGCTAGCGCTGGGGTCCTGACCAGGCTGTCCCGCTTTTGCTTTTGCTTCGCTCCAGGGAGCGGAAACACAGTGGCTATCGACCTGATCGTTCAGCATGTCCACAGCCAGCTGGAAGAGGTAGGAGCTGCCTGGTCCCACGGGTGTTCATGGTGGGGTCGCCCTTGCCCGTGCCGCGGTGGCATCGCAGGAAGCAGTGCTCCGGGTGCCAAGGTGGGAATGGCCTGGCTTCCCTCCACGCGCCAGGCGTGTGAGCCGCGGGGCTGTCCCCATGGACGCCTCCCAGCCCCACTCCCTCCCATTCAGCGGAGGAGGGTGCCTTGTCCCTGTGCTCTGGTTAGCGCAAGGCTCCTCTGCAAGCTGTGGTCCAGCAGCAGCTGGGAAGGAATTCCCTCCCTGGGAGAGCAAGTTATCTGGGGACAAACCAGCCATCCTCCAGCGATCCCAGCGATGTGCCCTCGCTGCCTGCAGCCCTCCCGGGGCCAGCATCGCCCCAAACCCTGCCATATCTCAGTTCTTTGGCTCTGGCTTCTCCTCTTCACCCCCTTGCAGACGCTGCTGCACAGTCTTTACAGCCAAGAGCCCACTTTTCTGTCTTTGGTGCAGCCCATGGGTTTCCAAGCCCAAAGTCTTGTCACGTTTGACGCCCAGCCTGAGCCCAGATCCAGGCAAATGCTCCCCATCGCTGGGTTTAACAAGTTGTCTTCTGCGTCTCCTGGGTCAGTCCTGACCAGTGGTTTGAGCCTGGGACCCTTTGATCAAATGACGCTGTTGTGTCAGCGGCAGCCTGAGCAGCACAGCCTCCTCCCGCCCCACCTTTGTAGCTCTGACGTTTAAGGTGCGGAGATGCTCAGGGCGATGTCCTGGGCGGTGGAAGGAGCGTGACCTGGAGATGGAGGCACTTGAAAGTAAAGGGCTTGATTCCTGCAGGCCTTTTGGAGCTCCCAGACAGCTGGAGCCGCTCAGCCCCTGGACGTGAGCTGGCACCCGACAGCATCACGCGTCCCGCGCCCGCTCGGGAGGGACCGCTCCGATGCAAGGCCGTGATGGAACGTTCCCCCTCCTGGAGCGCTCTGCTCTCCGCAGAGCTGCAGGCGGCACTCGGGGCTTTCCGACCGCCTGGATTTACAGCACTAAGCTCTGGCAGGTCGGAAAGTTGGGTTTCTAAACCCTAGCTCGCAGGAGTGAGGGTCAGAGCCCTGGCATCGTCGCTAGCACAGGGCTGAGGAGGGCACGCAGCAGCAGGGCACAGGCCAGGAGGGGGGAAATGGCTGTTTCTTCCAGCTCCTGGGATCTGGCCAGGAAAGCTCGCGGCTGGACGCTGCAGCGAGCAAACACGGCAGCTCCTCCCCAGAGCGCTGCTATGAGCCAGGCGAGGGGTTGGCTTTGGGGGGGACTTTGATTTACCTGGGGAGGGGAAGAAGGGGAAAAGGCTACATGTGAATGCAGGAAAATATTCCTATTTTTCCTTTTCTTTTATCTTGAAACGACCCTGGTGTTGACAATGCTTAATACCGGTTGCATTGTGTCTTTGTGTTGCTGCCGCAGCGTGAACTCAGTGTCAGGTAAGAGCCCCTAACCCTGTCCTGTCTGTGCAGCCCGAGGCATTTCCAATGCCAGGCACTGCTTGGCCTAACCCCGACCTGCAGTCGAGACCGACAGCTTGCCTAATGCACGGCCTCGTCACGCTCGAAGCTGACAAAAGGCCACCTTGCCCTTGGCTTTGGGACCAGCAGGGACAGGGCTGCTCCCCCCGGGATGCATTTGTCCTGCGCGGGTGCCACCAGCTCGAGCGCAGACCCCTGAAGCTGGGGCAGGGCCAGGTTTGTGAGCTGGGGACCCCCGACCTCTGCAAGAGGGGAGGCTTTGCGTCCCGGGCTTCTCCTTTATTTCCCTTCATCTGCTAAGGCAAACGGTTGTTCAGAGCCACTCTCCATCCCTGATGATTAAACATCATTAAACATCAATTACTAAATTAAGCAAAGCGGCTGAAGGGTGGTGGGAGCCCTGGCACCCCTCGCCATCGTGGAGGCTGCAAGCCCGACAGCACCCAGGAGGAGCGTGGCAGCCTCGGCGTGGCCAGGGGTGGCCGCTTTCCCGCAGTGCCTAAAGACTGCACAGCAACTGCCTGGGGACCATGAAAATTCTTCTGCCCTAGTCCGGCGGGATTTCTAATTCCTCAGTATCTGCAGGTGGATGCTGTAAAGTACACGTTGATTTACTAAACCTCTTCAGCGTGTGGGTCCAGCTGGGACTTCAGCTCTCTTGCTTCCATTAAGCAGCCAGCTAAGTTTCCAGGTATTTTCGTAGGAAGCGGAGAGGACTCATCACTGCAGATGGGTTTCCATTTAGATCTCCGTCATTGTATGGAGACACTTAACTCAAGCAACCTTAAAATTTACATTCAGCATAGAAAAAGCTTTCAAAATACCTAGGATGAACAGGGAAAGGCTCTGCTTTACTTATTTCCGCTTAAGCCATTCAGTTCCTAGATGAGGCAACTGGGTGTTTTATTTTATTTCCGTTCGCTCATTTAACACCACGGGGCCTGACATTTCCATACAGACAGCGTAAGCTTCCCCGTGGATCTGGAGGTCCGGGTGGGAAGGTGCTCTTTAGCGTGGAGGGAAGCCTGGTGCTTTAAAATATCCGCAGGAATACTGTTAGAGAGCGGGCTGCTGTGTGCGTGTATCCATGTATCCGTGCCCATATGTATGTGCGTACACACACGGCTAAAATTGCCTTTCCAGGGATTCTTCTCTTTCATCAAAGTGGGGCTCAGTGCAGGTGATCTTTTGGTGCACCTTAAAAATGAAGTATTTACTGCTATGTCAGTATAACGATAGCAGGTGTGGAAAGGTAACTCTGAGCTCCCAAAAGAACTCCGTGATAACCACATCCACAGGCATTTTTATGTTTTGTTTAAGGCTCGTGGTTTCCATTTATCCCTTTGCCAGAAAGTCTGGGAAAAAATGGCCTTAAAAAAAAAAAAAAAAAAAAATCTGTTTACACTCCTGGAGTGCCAGTGCTTTTACTGCTGCTGCGGTTCCCCGTCAGCTCCTCTGCGGCTCTGCGCTCGCAAGAGGAGCGAGGTGGATGGATGGAGAGCCAAGCGAGAGGTGCTGGGCAAACAGGGGGGCTTTTCATCTTAAACAATTCCCTGTCCTCCCATCTTGAATGGCTTCATCTAAATGTCACGGTTGTTGTTCTGATGTCACCGCCTTTTGGCGGCCGTGGGGACGCAGCCAGGTCTTTGTAGCTGGTGGAATAAAACCTGGATGCTCAGATCTGGCCCCAGGCCGAGGTGCTCCACCGGTCCTCGTGCCCCGGGCTGGCCCTGGCCTGCCTCTCCAGAGGCAGAGGGTGGCAGGGACGGGCAGGGAGTTCTTCCTGACTCCCAGCTGATCCAAGTGGGTGAATTCTGAGGAGTTTAAAGGAAGTGGTGCTCTTCCCTGGACCGGCGAGCCTTGCTTTCCTCCTGTAACTGCTGGTTGCTGAGGAGCATCGTTGCCCTCCTCTGTGTTCCCTCGGAGCGCAGGTCAGACCTTAGTGTCCTTGCAGTTGGGATATTTCTTGTCCGGCTTCCCACACATTTAACCGTGCGTGTGCTGGGGGTGTAGTGACGTACGGGCACTCCCAGGTGAGTATTTCTCCTGGAGCCCCTGCCTGCCGAGGCTCGGTGCTCTCGGCCAAGCCCGTTTCCTATCCCTTCTGTTTCCGCACCCAGCCCAGCTCTCGGAGCCCGTGCTCTTTTCATCTGCATTCCCTTCGCCAATCAATATTCCCCACCCCCAAGGTCTCGATCAGCTTGGCATGCCCTTTGCCAATTGTGTCTTTAAATATCAACCCGTGGCGCAGTTTAATAGCCCTTGTTTGAAATGTCAGCTGTGAAAGCCAGCCGCTGTACGTGTTTGAAATGCCTTGACTGCATTAGCTCCTTTGTAGCTGGATGTCTCTTGTCTGCTTCCTGCTTGATAGCTTGCTCAACAAAGAGCTGAGGATGTTCCCCGAAGCCTTCCGGAGAGATGGGCACCCCTTCCTCTCGCTCTTTCTTCCTTTCTTCCTTTCTTCCTTTTTTATTTTTCCTTTAAAGCTTTTGTTCGGAGGGGGGGGAGTAAGTTTCCAAAGTGAGACGTTTTCTTGACGTGCTCATGGCTGCCCATCTGAATTTTCCATCGCGGTCCTGGCTGGCAGGGGGAGGGACAGGAAGCTTTGCTGCTCTCGCAGGCGGCTGCCTGCGGGCCCTGGCGGCAGAGCCCCGCTCCCTCCGTCCCTCCCGGCAGGGCTGGGCAAGGGATTTCACCGCCGGCGGCATGGCTGTAGCGAGGCGGCTGCCGGAGAGGCTGAGCTCTCCCCTCTGCCTTGACCCACATCCCCTCTCCAAGGGATGGCGATCCGAAGGCAGCACAGGGGAAGGAAGGTCATCCCGGCCGGCGGTGATCTTCAGTTCGGGTTTCTCCCCGTGTTCCCAGTGCTCTCGGCTTTCCGGGCTCTCCGAGGCTTGAGCCGATCGTCTCTCCAGCGTGCCAGGAGGTGGGCACCCCTGTGAGCCCCCACGAGTGCGGGGCAGGGTGGGTGAAGGTTTTGCAACCTTGGCCTTGAGCGCCTGCGCTTGCTCTGGGATTGCAGCAGAGCCCCGGGCAAGGGCCGGGCTTTTCCCTCTGGGCTCCGAGAGCTGCAGCTGGTGGTACCGCAGGGGACGAAGAGGTGACAGCGTCCCTGCCCTGACTCCGGGCGGTGAGAGCGGGCAGAGCTTTCCTCCCATGGGGCCGGGAGCAGAGCCGGTGCCATGGAGCACAGCTGTGAGATGACTCGGTCACCAAGGGAGGAGCACTGGGATCTGTCCGGCGGTGGCCAGGGCACCAGGCAGGTCCAAGAGCCGTAGATCAATTAGGGCTTTTTTTTTCCCCCCTTTGGCTAATGACAGTGCTTTTTCCTTTGTTTCATGTCCTGTTTGTCCCTCTCCCTTTAAACTCTCGTCTTGCCTGTCTTGTTCCATCCCTCCCACCTGGTGACCAGAGGAAGCTGCGCTGGGATATGTGAGGAGACAAACGCTAACGGCAGTGTTTTGGTTGTGACACTAACGCCGGGGAGCGGGGGCGAGGGCTGTGCAGTGTGAGCCGCGTTACTAACCCGGGCAGAGCGCTCACGGGCTCCCGCTTTGCTGGGGCTGTGCGGGGGGCAAATCGGGGTGGGGGTTCGAGAGACCACCTTTATCCTCATGCCAAAAGGGGGACCTGCCGCTGTCCCCCCCTCCCCGGAAAGCACCGTGGGGACCCCCGCAGCACTGAGCAGCTTTCTGGGGCTGTTGGGGACAAGGGCCCAAGGGGGGCGGGTTGCATCCAGGCCTCTCCGTCCCTGCGCTGAGCAGCAGCCCTTGCGCGGGTGTCACAGGAAGGTGCGGAAAGCTCGGTGACAAACCGCTGACAGCGTTCCCCCAGGGGGTTGTTGACAGCTCGGGGCGCAGGGGAGGTGTTCCCAGGCACGCGGGGCTGCTCTCGGGGGTAGGAGCACTCGCCGGCGTCTGCAGGAGGGAGCGGGAGCTGGGTCACACCGCATCTCACCCGCAGCACCGCAGAGACCAGGGCGGGAGAGGGGCTGCCCGTCCCGCTGGTGCGGCGGGGACCTGGCAGTGATGGAGGGGAGAGGTGCCCGTGGCAAGCTCAGGTGTGTGCCCCTGGGTGGC